TCGATAGATTTTGTATTCGATAGAATTGCATTACGTTCATTGACTGGTAAATGAACGTAATTGAAAATCTCAAACATTAACACGTTAGGCTGATAAGATTGTATTGTCCTACTACTTTTCGCTAGTTTCCGTAACACTTCCATTCATTGAAGAGAAAAATATGAATCCAAATTGATCGTTTAAATCATTAGCAAAATATTATTGATCAGCTCCAATGCGATGTGTTTCTTCTGTCCACTGTTTAGTTCATTTCTTATCTTCATCATTTCCAACGTATTTATTATCTTCATCAGATCCAACGTATCTAGAATTTTGTCGATCGTCATCTGTTTAGTTTTTTGATTTATATTGTTGTCCATTTTTAATATTCATGATATCATTATCGCTTCATTTACTGTAAATAGATTAAAATCAAATCTTTCAATATATAACACGAGTATTTTTTATGTTCAGTCAAGGACATCTTACTTTTTTGTTATCGAGATAATTTATCTTTCAGGCTCTTATCTTACACAAAAAACGATTCTATCTATTTGCATATCGATTGAACGAGATTTGCTAGAGTATACCTCAAGTATCACTTTTATGTATGTAAAAATAGAAACAAAACAAAAAAAAACTAAGAATAAACAATTATAATTATAAAATAAAAAAAAAACAAATTAGAAGAAAATCTAAAAAAAAGAATGTATAAATTATAATTTCGAATAAATTCATTTCGAAGAAAAAAAGAGGAAAGAAAATAATGAAAAGATATAATAATTTTAAATAAATTCATTTGCAATCATCATATCCATATCCAATCCTTTTTCTCTATCTTTTTAGTTTTTCTTCTTCACCTTTATTTTCAATTATTTTTTCTTGATTATTTTTCCTTTTTCTCTCTTCACTTCTCTTCTCTTTTTGCTTTCTTATTACTATTATTATTAGTTCTAATGATTTCATTGTGCTTCGTCGTTATCGTTATCGTTGGCGTTGTCAGATTAGTATTTGTCATCAGCATCGTCTGGTTTCGAATATTCAGAACACAGACGTCATCGACGTCTCTGATTAACTTAATAAATAAACGTAAATTCAAATCAAATAGTTACCGGTCCGTGGCGTCAAACTGTCTTCGACATATATTTTAAGAGTATATTTGTGTTACGTTCTGTGACATATACCAGATAATCAGTTTTTGTAAGCATATTTACATAATATATTATAATATATTATATATATTGTACTTTGATATATTACATATAAAATATATTAATATATAATATATTACATTAAGACTGTTCAATACCCTGACTTTATAACGCCAACGATGAGAATAAGCATAATTCTTGACCGATTTTGATAAACAAGTTCTCATTTTAAAGTTAAAGGTTTAATTTAGGACTCCTAGACTAAATCTTCATTTTTTAACCTTTATCTAAACAAAATTTGAAAAAGCTTTTTATTTGTGCATAAATTAATCTTGAAATAATACCATTTTTTAATACAACTTTTTTCAAATAAAATAAAGCTTTTTAAAAAATTTGAAGAAGTAAGGTCTTAGATTGAACCTTCATCTTTAAAATGAGATCTTAATCATCGAAATTGATGTCTTCTCATTGTTGGCGTAAACCATTACAAAACCAGGGGTGATGAACAGCCTTAAGATGATTTTACAAGTATCTTACTTTAATATTGTTACGTCATAAGAGCGCAACGTTAGAGAACGTGTTTAGATATACTTTTCGCACCGGACCAGCGATGGTGGTCGATTCGCACGGAAGATCTGTCCCTCGTTTCTAGAGCTAATGATCGTGATGATAAGGATGGCGGCACAAGGCTCGGAATTTTTAGCAAAATACCGCTCGCCGTGTTTCTATCAATAAATGGGAAAACGCGATTTCTTTGAACAATTTTGGCAAATTGTTTCTTTAACATACATTTTAATCAATTCCACGTTATTTTCTCTGTCTTCAAAATGTATGCTTAACAACTTAATGAACCACCAAGGAGTATCTTCCTTCATTCACATAACTTAACCATCTTTATCTTCAAAATCCATCAACCAGACTTTCGTCATTCTTAATTTCATCTTTGAAGATCAATGCAACTATGAGTAATCTTGGTCACCGTTGTTATTGTTGTCGTCCTCATCGTGCTCGTCTTTGTCGCGACTTTAATCGATAACAAATAACTTTGCTTTGAAAACATTTCGTCAAATTTTCTTTACATTTTGACGCATTGAGTTCTCGCTTTTTGACTTAGCGTCCCCGTCTTGTCAATTCTTTTATTTGTAAACTAATCGTCGCCGAAAGGTTTAACGATTAAACTTATTTCTTTGTCATTAATGCTAGTAACTTACTTGATATAATTTGTTTTGATTATTGCACTGTTATAGTTTCAGATCTATTCCATTTGGATTATTAATCGCAATCCTGGTTGAGCCATAATGTAGCATTAATTATAGTATGCCTGAACAAATTCGAATACGTCGATTAAATCGTGTCTCACTTTAATATTTCACTCGGTAGAATATTATTTTCCGATAATTTTTTAAAAATGTTATATTTACATTTTTTTTTTTCAGAGGACGTTTTCAATTGACATTGTGTGTGTATATTTAAGAGAGAGAGAGAAAGAGATAGATAGATAGATAGATAGATTGATAGATAGACAGATAGAGAGAGAGAATCAAGAAAAAATACTTTGCTTGTGCCTTATGATCACTAGATTTATTAGTTGACAAAAGAAAAACTACATATAGTCTGTATATTTGATTTCATTTCATTTTAAAGATCAGATGAACAGAGAAGTTAAATAACACACAAATACATTATTTTAATATTCTCTTAATACTATAGTCATATCTTTGTTTTATTAGTAGAAAAAAGTTATAAATATAAAAATAATTTTTATATACTGGCAATTGATTTAATAAACGAGTACAAGAATAAAATGAATTTAAATTTAGAAAATTATGTTCAAAGTGTATCATCGTACAATGTAAACGAAGAATATGTTATTGTCTCGAAGGTAGAATATATTTTTGTAGTTAGAACTTTTGTCCGATTGTATAATTTTTCGAAAGAAATGTTACGGATTAATTATTTTATTTAATGCAGTTATTTATTATTAATTATATATATATAATTATTATTATATATGAAATTATATGTTGTTATGAACCGCCCTAGAGAAGTTCGAAGTGAAACTTGGAACTAGAAGACCGTTTCTAGACACCCAGAAAATGTGACTAATAAACGAGTTGTCATCTGTTTTCTAAGAGAACTCAGCCTGAGAGAAAGTGACTCAAGGAGCTTGTACCCTGACTACTGATTTTCATATACACGTTTGAATAGTATATGTTTTATATCCATGAAGTAGCGATTGTCTGCTTAGTTGTGTGCGTAAATAACTGTTGCTCAGATTTTTTGAACATTTCCAAACGTAAAGAAGATAGGTTTTACGATGCTCGCACGAAGAAGCTACGGTAACTCACTCGATTATTTTAATGAACTTTGGCCAGATAATTCTATGGCAAAAATGTGTCCAATAATTATATTGAGTTTCTAAAAAATTATAAATTTTGGAAACTTTGTAGTTTCTTTTAGAATTTATAAACTAAAAAGAAAGAGATTCTATAAGTTATGAATAGTACATTGGCAGCGTCCAGATTCGTAATTCATGAATTCTAGGTGTTCAAGGCCAACAAGATTCCGGTGGTTTATTTTATTGTATCGACGTAAAAGAAAGTAATAAAATAATTTACTCTTTTTTCTTTATTTGATAATTTAGTAAGGTATTACTAGTCTCTTATATTTATTTCCTCCAGTGATGGCTGAAGTGAATTTTGCGGTGATCTGTGCAAGATAGGACATACCAGCAATATAATTTTGTTCGATGACAAATGCATATAAAGTATGTATATTTGTCGATAATTTTTTCAATATTAACAATTAGTGAATATATATATTATATATTATTTTTAATAAAGATCAAAACATGAGTTTGTTTCTACATCATCTACGAGATTTTTTTCCTGCTGCTGTTCTATTAGAATTTCCTCTGTAGGAGTTCACTTCATATTATTACGATTACTACGATTATTACTATAATAATAATATGTAATATAATAATATAGTAACAGAAACAGTAAAAAGAAGAAGAAAGAAAATATATACTTATATTGTATACATCGTGACACATATGATGATGATAATTTATGATAACAAAGAAAGAAAAAATATATCATTTTACACGGTAATTTGATGCGTGAATTCTCAACAAATCTTGTCCTTGATAATTTCGGCACATGATTGACAATCTAATACAAACGACATACGAAGAAAAATACGAAACGTTTCTTTTATTTTTATTCCCTATGTTTCTCTTTGTCTTACTGATCTTATGATCGTTATGCATTTGTCTCCAAACAGTTTCTTACTAACGATTAGTCAAAGCTAATTGTTTTTATTTTAATATCTTTGTCAATATATAATGAATATGATGATTGTCCAGTATATAAATCGTTTATTACAAGAGAAATATTAAATCGGGATTACAATTGTCGCGGTCGTGCAATATGTTAATCTGCTCTATCATCTAACTTAATTATTCTAAATTCTTTTATATGGAGTCCTTTCTAAGGAAAAGTATATCAAGTATATTCGGAGATAAGTAAAGAATGCCAAGTTTATTTAATAACGGTAATTACGATGCCAGATAGATATTATCTGCAAGGTTAGTAGTCGAAAGAATTGGATGATAAAATAAATTTTTAGAAAAAATTGGTATCAAAATTTATTATAACATACATTAGAATGATTCTCCTTCTCATCGTTACAACTATTCTATAAAATAAATATGTATAACTTTTCGATATCTAAATTAATAAACATGTGTTATTTTTCAAACAAAATAAATACATATATGTTAATTTTCGATATCTAAATTAATATCTATTCACGAATAAAGTATTGATAATGCTGTACATCTTGTCTACGATTAAGATGCATTCGATACATGACAAAAATATCGTTATGCAATCGATTAATGACTAGATGATTTTATGGGTATCTTTCTTTAATCTTACTATCTTTTACGACCAATTCTCAATTTAAATTATTTAACAAGTGATCGATTTGCGATTCTGATTTGTGTCAAATATCTGATGATAGTCTTGTGTTCCTTTCTCGGAACTTATTCCCGAGGAAAGATTTGCTGTGTCTTTTTGTAAACACAGGGTTGACACTTTGGTATTGCAGACATTTTTCTTCTATTTTGCCGTCAATTATCTGAAAATAACAGTATTTTATAGTAGATTAATATTATATTTATGATATATAAAAATTTTTAAACCTTACTTTCTGTAGTCCATAATCATACGAGATATGTTGTACAGACAAAAACATCGATTTGAACAATGTAATTGGGGTTCTTATATATGGTATTGGTTCTGGATTATATTTCATGGATGCTTGCAATCTCACATAAAATGAAAGGATGGCGTTTTTTAAATCTCGCTCGAAATATAATTCGAAAAATAAACTGTATTCGGGAGACAATACATTAAAGAATGCATTTATGCACATTTTGGATTTTTCCAATTCAAGTACAAGCTGGAAGATAACGTTTGGAAATTCGTTTGACAATAGCGAGAAATAGAAAAAGAAAAAATGACGAACCTGTTCACTATTAACAGATATTAATGTCTCCGCCACAATAACAAAAACTTTGTTTTGTCGTTCTTCCTCCGATGACGATTGTAACTGTTGGTTTACAAGTATTTTCATTAGTTGAGGAGCACCATCTATCAAAATTAACTAACCTTTAAATCTTTTGGCTTCTAATTGTCGTGTGAGTTCAATTGTTACAAGCGATCCGAATAAGTATCCCATTAAAGTAAATTCTTTTCGATCTTTAAGTTTCTTTAGTATATGCTGTAATATGTAAAGTTACATACCATTTTATTACAACAGATTGAATAATATTTAATTTAATCAAACATATCTTTAGTAAAAGAGTATACCGGTAGAAATGAAAGGGCAATTTCTTCTACAGTTTCTAATTCATAATTTGTCCCAAGTTGGAAACAAGTCGCTGGTGACTTAATTTTCGATTCTAATGTTTTGAAAATGATACCATAGTCTTCGATACCTGGAATGAAGAATATTTCGTTCCGACCTTCCTCTGGGTTCGTTTTAAGGGAGATAATTACTTCGAAGGAAAGTTTTTCGCCAAACAATTGCATCAATATCTTTGTACCAAATAATATTTTGTCAGTAATAATTTCAATACGATTACTATCACCTGTTCGCTTATTTTCTATTTCCATAAGTTTGGCAAAGTTTAAGCTGCGAATATCTTTCGCGTTGAGATATATCTCATACTCGCACTCTAAAGTTTGTTTTATTTCCACACCCATCATAGAATCCATTCCAAGCTCAACTAAGGAATTTTGTTAATTGATACTCTTCAAGTCTTTAATACCTATAATCAAAAATTCTTTATTTAAATAAGATAAAGATAAACAAAAGCTGGCGAAAACAAAATAACATTATTAAATGTAGCAATAATCATGGATAAACCAAAATTTACACATAATTTTTAAGATAGCATTTACGACATTGTCCGCACGATCGCCATCTAATCGGTTTTCAACGATTATCATACTAGCAATTATAGGTTTATTCTGTACCAAAAATCGATTGATTTCTTCTAAACATGATGTAATTTTTTGCTGTAGAGTACGGGCGATGACAAGTTCTTTGTCGTTATCCTGTATGTCCGCGACAAGACCGACGTCTCCAATCGCTCCCCATTGAATAGCTAATTCGGGCAAACCTTCTTCTACTCTCTTTTCGCATATTCTTTCCATGACGGGATTAGTCATACCATAATTCATTTGACTAGCATTTCCTCTTTCGCACAAGACGGAAGAGAAGAATACGAAATGCCGAAGATTTGGACAAAATTTTCTAATAACTTCGTCCGAACGTTTCGTTGCTTAGGCTTTTCTTTTGAAACATTCTTCAAAAGTTTTCATCGTTTGGTTACAACAAATACAATCTTTCAAAGACACCGCGAGGTTAAATATACCATCGATGGGACCTTGATCTATTGCTGATTTTACTACAAGCTCGCAGTCTTCTCGTTTAGCCGCATCGAGACCGACCAGGATCTTAATATTCACGCCGTATGATTCCCATCTCTTGATTCTCATTTGTTGATAACCATTCTTTAAGCCGTTTCGTGAAGTAATGACAATATTTTTAGCATTTCGAAGAACCAACCAATCGATTAATTCTAAACCAAAGCCACCCAAGCCGCCAATAATTATATAACTTTTGTTCGGGAGACATCTATAATAAGGTTCAGCCAAGATCGGTGTATTCAGTTGTTCATTTTCTTCGCGTATCTTTATTAGTACTTACGAAATTCAAGATGGATTTCGAGTTATAATTTAAGATACTACAAATAATTGAATATTAAAACAACGATCACAACTTACTTTTCCAATATGTTTACATGCAGCCGTGAATCTAAAAGCTTTCTCTATTTGATCTCTGCCGAAGATGGTTCTTACAATAGGTTTGATTGCATTTTCTTTAAGGAGTTTGTTTACTCTTGAACTTATTTCATTTCTGATTCCGTCCTTGGTAACTATAATTTGATCTAACATTACAGCATGAAAACTGATCTCCTTCAAAAAGACATCGATGTCTAACGGATTATCTGCGGCTAAGTCAAACTTTCCAATTTCTAAAAATTTCCCTTCATGAGCTAAACAACGCAGAGATGCTTGAAGTTTTTCTTCTGCTAAAGAATTTAGAACTATATCTACACCTCTACCGTCGGTTTCTTGCAAAATCATTTGTTCGAAGCTAGTATCTCGAGAATTTCCAATATGATTATCGTCGATACTGGGAAATGTTTCTTTAATGAATTTACGTTTTTCTGATGTACCAACGGTAGTGAATACTTCACAGCCTTCGTGAAGAGCTAAGATAATCGCAGTTTGGCCAACATCATCAGCACCAGAGTGGATAAGTATTCTATCACCCTTTTTCATTTCTCCGTTAATATAAAGTGCAGCAATACATGTGGAATATACGCATGGTACTGTCGCTGCATCTTCCAAATTCCAACTTTCAGGTACGGTCCAAGAAAAAATGTCGTCCATTTGGCAAAGATGCATCTGTAAAAATGTTATTCATTTCATTTTCTTTCATTTTCTGTTATTTTCTATATGCGATTAAATCTCAATCTTATGATTTTTAATCAGCTCACTTATTTGAAGTCCCGTAATACGTCGACCACCAATACTGATTCCGCTAAATTCAAATCCAAGTACGTAGTCAACATCTTTTCTGTCTTGTTGAAACACATTTAATCCTATTTTACCTGTTGCCAACATCACGTCTTTAAAGTTCAACGATGCATAATGGATGCCAACAAGATCTTTCTTTTGATAATCTTTCGTAATTGGTCCTTCGTAACGAACTTAAATCTCCACGTGACTGTTAAAAAGTATTATCGTACAAATTTTATTGCATTATTTCATGATATTTGATAAAAATTTGATAAAATGTTCTTACATACCAACTGATTAACGAAGGCATGATACATAAGCTTTGATTCACGAGATGGAAGTAGTTGATGCCTATATGATCCCTATACATTTCCTGCCCGTAAAACATTGATGACAAGATCGGTTTCGAATTGTTCCGAATAAAGGGGCAATTCTAAAGAAAATTTCGGAGCTTTAAAATCCTGAACTAAAACAGCTTGGAAGATTTTGCCTCCAAGTTCTTTCTGTAAGCAATTAATGAATCCTAAGAGACCACATTCAAAGTTTCCTTCCTCAACAAGTATCATTCTCGTGTTATCTTTTTTTGTGTTTCATTGGCAAGCACATTTTGTACTTCTTTCAACCAGTTTAATTCATTGCTCCTAACATTAATAAATTGAGTATATTTCGAAATTTTCTTGATCTCTCTTAACAATATCCACGATTCCTCGGAATTACGTTTCTCCAAAACTATACCTAATCGAAATTCCTTTTGAATAGAATAGTCCAATGGTATATTTTCCTTTTCGTGCGATGAAAGGAAAGCTCTATCTTTTGTAGATTTTAAAAGTTGTTTTAAACTGTCTGTTTTTTCATTGGTTAATAAACAACATCCAACTGCTAATATCGCTATATCATCTGTTCGTACTTTTTTCGATTCTAAAATTTTAATATTTTTAAGAACGTCTTCTTCGCAAAATTTCTTTGGTGATGCAAATAAATTAATGCTTGTTTGGATCGAAGGTAAATTGGCTAGAATGTCTTTCGACAATGGAGAAACAAGTTTCTCTGCTGATATATTGTCATTATCCTCAACGAGTTCTATTGTTTTCACTTTCGTCATTGATATATTCTCAAAAGTAATATGCATAGATAACGTTAATATTTCGCGTAATGTCATTTTCTTTCTGTCACGATAAGCAATGAATTTATGTTCTTCAATAATTGGATCAGTGACAGGTTTCTTCCGAGCAATCTCACTAGCCCTAGTATTATGAATCTCCACACTCTCTGCTACAATCACATCAATATACTCAAGTAATTGTACAGGTACATCTTTAATAATATTATTGAATATATAAGAATTCGCTATATAGATTCACTTTGAATTAAAAGTAAATATTTACATTTTTTATTGGTTGTCAAACTTTGCAGATATCGTTGATGAGCTTTAGTATCTATTATCAATTTTCGAATTCCAGTCGGTACGAATAAACCTCGGGTATCTAAAGTGAGTATTTTCATCTGCAATATGTTATCCAGGAATGCTACTCAATTTTTTTCCACTCGATATGTCCTTTTTTTCCTGAAACTGAGGCACTGTTTAAACTTCGAAAGAGGCCGCTATATTGATAACCACGTAGTTTCAGCTCTTTATAAATATCTTTCGCATCTAATTCTTCCTTCTCATAGCCAATATTTGATTTGATCAGATCAAGGGGTATTTTCTCTTGCAACAAGTTTGTTGCAACACGAATCACTCCGGTAACAATAGCAAGACCTCCTTCGGCCACTTCGAAGACCACTGCTTGTTCTTTCGTAGATCGACATATGTTAAATTTTTTAAAACAATATATAGATACAAGTTGTGGAAAGTAGATACCTTTTTGAATGATGACTATCATTTCAATATTCCCTTCTTTTGGAATGATGGTAGCTCGATTACATTTTACATTTTTAATGACAACATATATTTCCATGTAAAATTGTCCTATTATCATGCCAAAAGTTTCCCAAATCAAGCACATATATCCTGTGAGTGGAAACAAATTTCTGCCATCGACCACGTGATCACTAAAGTATTGAAATTCTTCATAAGCGATCGATATTTCAAATATTCATTCACCAGAATTAATTCTCTCTTGTCTTTTGTAATCTGCCACAAACCAGTCGTCTGAATGTTTCCATCTAAACACATTATAACGTTGAATTTTTACATTACATTCAGAAGAAATAATTATTAGTTCTTTTCGTTTTCTATATTTTCCTAATTCTTACATAATTAGTGGAGATATTGGAGTACCTCGACTGACCGGATATTTTACGTGTGGATATAATTTAGCAAGATCTAACTGTAAACCGGTATTATAGAATTTCCCTAATGCTTGTAGAAAAATGACCACATTATCTTTATCATCTGGATGATTTAATGCAATATTCCTAAAAATATTTCTAAAAATACGGTTGGTTGCAATGTTTTTCTTAAAATCGCTTGTAATAGATTTTGCGGTGCAATTTCAATAGTGATAACATTGTCGGGAATCAGAGCTAATGTTTCCTCAAAGAATGTACTCTTTCAACATGTTATTGGTATGATACTACAGGTTTCAACATGTTATTGGTATGATACTCAGCTGACGAGAGTTTTGCGGCTGATATCGACCATTCGTTTCATGGCATCGATGTACTTTTTATATAGTTGTAAATATTCGTATTTACAACTAACATTGTTTTCACTTCATACAAATTACTATTTGTATTATGATGGCGACTAATTATCCGTTATAAAATAACTCTGAAGAGAAAGTAAAACGTTAGATAAAATAAAAATATTTTTCAAAAGAAATCAGAAACATTCTTATTCCTTTTGGAATTTGCGAGATGATTCAAGAGATTTTCCCCATATTGACCCAATGAAAAATAAAATATCACCATAGACTGCCATTTATTTAGAATTAAAGAACGTAACCATAAATAGGGACAACAACAAAGCTATTCCGTTTATCTTGAAATAGAGAATATTAACAGGTTAAATATCACGCCAATTTTACCGGGATTGTCCGTGGCACCACGATGAATTTCCTATTTAGCGATACATATAATATTGAAATATTATCTGCAATAGATAAGTTACAGCGTATAAACATGTTTGGCATGTTAATTGCGGCGGGGGTCACTGGTGACTCCCGTGGCGCTGGAGTACGATTTCGCGCGATCGTCAATTATCTCATATTGCTTCTTCGCGTTGTTGAGTAATAGTGTTACGTTTTTATTATTTTCTAGAGTGTTAAACAATCAGGTAAGAACCTCTATTATACTTTTATATACCACAAAAATTTTTGCATTTCGTATCTCCTATTTAATTTTTTAGTTAACCCATAAAGTTATGATTTCAAATGAAGATTCTGCATCAAGCAATTCAACTGATGATATATTTTTACCAAATCCTTCCAAACGATGCCAAGTGTTGTCAGATAGTGAGGAAAGTTCCTCGAGCAATTTGTCTGATATAATAATACCATATTCAGTACGTCGCCGTCGAATTGAATCATATAGTTAAAGCGAATCGAAAATAATACACAAGAAGAGGTACGTGATATAAATTGGCATATATCTTCGTGTAATTAACCAAAGATTATATTTTGTAATTCATCGGGGATCAATACACATCATTCTCAAATTTTGGAATTTACTGAACCGCATAGTTTTTATTGTCTTTTTGTTTCGAATGAAATATTTTAAATAATTGCAAACTAAACAAATAAATATGCTGCGAAAATAGTATTAGAACAGCGATCATGTCGTCTTGATAGATGGATTGAAACAAATCCGAATGAAATAAAAAGATTTTTTGGCTTAATTATATAGATGGGATTAATGCGATTACCCAAAATTCACTTGTATTGGAGTAGAAATGAAGAATATCACCAGACATTCCCAAGTACAGTGATGCCGAGAAATCGATTTGAATTACTTTTACGGTTCATTCATTTTAGTAACAATGAAGAAAATGAACCTAGTAATAGATTATCCAAAATTATTCACATTATCGACATATTAAACAGAAGTTTTAAAGAATACTACAATCCAAATGAAATATTATGCGTAAACGAATCATTGGTCCTCTTCCAAGGCCACATAATATTTCGACAATATTTGAAACTGAAATGGCATCGATATGGAATTAAAGTTTTTAAATTATGCTGTAGTGCAGGGTATACTTATTCTTTTCAAGTATACTCGGAAAAAGAAAAAAATAGAGACAAAACAGCAGTAACCGTATCATCCGAGATTGTAATGTCTCTTCGCAAAGATATTAGGTGGACTAGAAAGTAATGTCGCTTTCTTAAATTAAATTCAAACGAATAAATTTTTAACAAGTTTTTATTTTTAATCAATAATATAATCACCTTCGTTATCAACAACCTTTTGCCATCTAGTGTGCAAATTTTCAATGCCGGACCGACAAAAATCAATTGATTTTTGAATAAAATATCTTGAGATGGCATTTTGAACATCATCCAAATTTTCAAATTTTTTGCCACTAAGAAAATGTTGTAGCGACCGGAATAAATGGAAATCCGAGGGTGCGAGTATGGTGGGTGTGGCAGTACCTCCCACTCTAATTCATTAATTTTTTCCAAAGTTCGTCTTGCATAGTGCGGTCTTTCATTGTCGTGTTGCAGAATAATGCCTTTTTTGTTGACAATCGCTGGATACTTTTCGATTAAAGATTCGTTCACTCGATCCAATTGTTTACAATAAAGATCTGCATTAACAGTTTGTCCAAGTCAGCACTTCAAAATGAACAATTCCGCGTATACTCCACCAAACACACAGAAGCACCTTTTTGGGATGTAAATCCGGCTTCGCAGTACTTCGTGGTGATTCATTTGGAGAGAGCCACTGCCTTTTGCATTTTGGATTATCATATAGAACCCATTTTTCGTCTCCAGTGATCAAGCGATCAAAAAATGGTTCTATATGGTGCCGTTGAAGCAATATGTTACATGTGATGGATCGGTTGGCTTTGTTCTCTTCGGACAGATTATGGGGGACCCAAACACCTGCTCTGTTTATTTTTCCAATCTGCTGCAAATGTTCTTGGATGGTCGACTAAGGTTGATTAAGGGTGTTTGAGAGTTCCTCGATTGTCTGATATGGATTTGCTTCCACTTCTGCCCTTAGCATGTCGTTGTCTAATGATGTAGTCTTCCTGATCGATAGGAGTCAGAGAGATCAAAATTACCGGATCTGAACTTAGAGAACCATCTTTGGCATTTACGAAGGTCTCATGCATTGGGATAAACATCGCAAATATTTTTGGTCGCAACTGTTGCGTTACTACACTTGCGAAACTCAAGAAGCATACAATGCCGGATATGCTCTTCTGGTATTTGGCTGGCCATTTCACCCCAAATTGCAAAAAAAATCTAATATTTAATTATTTAGAAATGAACAAGTCACAATAACCTTAAAATGTCTTTGACACGACTTCGAAATACACAATGAGCTGACAAATAACAATCAAATATCGACATGCGCAGAAACAACATTACTTTCCGGTCCACCTAATATATTGGATAAAGGGCATACTGTCTGTACAGACAACTGGTATACAAATGTTGATCTGGCAGAAAAGTTAATAGCAAAAAATACACATTTAATGGGTACACTACGGAAAAATCTACGTGGAAATTCAGTAGAAGCAGTATCCAAAAAATGAAAACGTGGAGAACTCATTGCCCGCGAAAATAAATCCGGAATAACAATTTTAAAATGGAAAGACAAGAGAGACGTATTGATGCTTTCAACGAAACATTCGGCAGAAATGACTACTGTACATAAGAAATTTTATTCGTGTGAAAAACCAAAAATAGTTGTGAAATATAATCTAGGAAAATCATCAGTCGATTTATCAGACCAAATGATAGCTTATAATTCACCATTACGCAAAACATTAAAGTGATATAGAAAATTAGCAATAGAACTGTTATTGAATACATGTATGGTAAATTCAATGATATTATTCAGTCAGATAACAAGAAAAGATATTCAAATTTCCGACTTCAGAATGAAAATTGCATTGTATTTAATAAAATGTGATAATGATGCTGAAGTTTTCATTTTTCCACGTGAAAGCTTGCTGAGAAAACCACGACATGAATTAAAAGCAATGCCGGGAAAAGTTCGAACGATGTGAAGATTTTGCAAAATTTGTTACCAAAAAAATTCAAAGAAGTTAGGAAGAATAATCGCAAAAAACTGTAGCAAAAAAGTCGTGACATATTGTAAAGACTGTGCTGGTTCACCCTTTCTTTGTTTAGAATGTTTCAATACGACACATCTTAACGTGCGCGCATAATAAAACTATATTACATGTATAAATAAAACTATTTTCAGATGTTTCATACTGCATTCATTTCTTCACACCACTATATTAACGATGATAATAATACAAAATTATAAGTATTGTCATTTGTCTAACTTTTTTATTTTTTTTTCAATCTAGGCACGCCGGTCACCGGTGGCCCCCATAGCGTCACAGCCAAGTAAAGTGTCGGTTACCGGTGACTCCCGTGGCATTCAATCTATTAATCTAGTCATTTTCATCTTCGTCATGTCAACAGGATCGGTCTACGTCTTTATTCACCATTCAAATTTATTCTTTTTTCAATTACTTTTATCATCGCAAGGAAATGAACGTTCAATTAGCAGATCTGAATAGTTTATTGCTAAAAAAATTTATTCATACTACGACCAATGTTCTGTCTGAGCGAACAAGCAAAAGTCTGTTAACTAACAGAAGCCAACTTATCACTAATATACGAAGAATCTTTTTCTAAGAAAAACATACTCATCTTCATGGGAAATCGAAAATAGAAATACAATTAAAACAGTAAATGGAGCTGGTCCCAATTGCTGATATAGAATACAGGTTATGATTAATACTTAGACTGTATAAATCCACGTATAATGAATACTGTATATTATATGTGATCTAATTTGTTAGTTTATTACTTAGGATATTAAACATTTGAAAAAGTCAATATACGTTGTTACAAAATCTAATATTTCTTATGTTTCATAAATTATTATTATTTTATTTAGTAGACTTATTTGATCATTCTTATTAAATTTTGTTTCATATATCATTTATAATTTCATTTATAATTATACAATCTATAAATAATTAATTATAATATATATAGTATATACATTATTTAATTTACTTTTATTTTATATTATATATAGTTTATTTAGTTTTATATTATATATTTATATTAAATATATATTATATTATATATAAATATAATTAAATTAGTTTAGAAATAATAAAAACAAAAAGTAGGTATTATTGTTCTTATTATTGTTTATTCTGTTTTTAAATAAACTTTTGGTCTATTAAATTTTCCATTAAACAAATCAGGGAAAGATTAATATTTCTTACTTGCCCAGACCAGATATTGCATTTTCAAAAACAAAGCTGGCCAATCTGAGTATGTTTCTATAAATTAAAGTGAAACAAGGTGTTTCATTTTCATTCCAAGATGTAGCAAGTCTTGCAAAGTTAATTAAAAAAGTTCATAAAAGGAAGTAAGACAACGTAACACACTTCTCGAAATATTTTTATACATTACATACATTGATGTAATTTAAAAAAAAGGAAAGAATTATTTTTAGTATTTTACTTAACACCCTTCATACCTAGCTTTTTTTTTTAACGAAGAAAAAAGATAAAGATTACAATTTATGAATTCAATTATACGAGTCTATTTAACTACAGGAAAATTTATCAGATTCTGTCTCACATGCTCCGACAAAACTCTATGAGTTACTAATTAATATGATACTCTCCAAAACATTTAGTCAATAATCTGTACAATCATGGTACAAATCAATTTTTTTCTATCAACATTTTCTCTCTTCGTCTTTTCATATTTTAACATGATATTCCAAAAGATAATTTTGATCCTCTTTCAATAGCGACTATAGATTAATCTCTTACAACTCTCTTCTATAATTAAATAAAAGAATCTTAATCAAAAACACAATTTCTGTTTTGTTGTTAATAAAAATAACTAATAATATAAGTAGTAATATTAATACCAAAGAAACTGAATCTGATAAAACAATAGAAAGAATCTGAAATTTATATATTAGTTCCTTCAAGTTATTTTGCTTTATAATTTATTACATTATTATTTGCATGCTCCGTCATATTTTAATTAGGTTCTATCGTTGGATTGTACAACTTGTTTGTACATAACTACTTTTCTTTTTTCCTTTCTTGGTGGATCTTTTGACTCATGTATACCCTTTAATTGATTCCGTGTATTGCTTGATACTTTACTTTTCTTCATCTGGTTCTTTGATGGCGGTAATGGAATCCATGCAAGTCCTTTTTCGTTCTTATCAATTCAACCTATTTTTGATCATTTTTCATTTGAGTTCCACTTCTGTAGTATCATGAATCATTACAATTTAATACACTTTCAATTATAATTTCCAATTTATGATTTAATTCGTTTAGTTTCTCGATATATTGAATGTCCGTTAAGCTCAAGTTTTGAGGTTAAGTTTTAGTTTTATTTTATTTACATCATTTCTTCAACTTTTTACATATTAATCTTGAATGAGCTCATAACTTATCGGAAGGATCAATAAATGATACTACCAAAGCATAGTACATGTTTTAAACAACCATTACAATAATCCAAGTGTACACGAAAACACACTAAACACATTCGAATCATGGATAAAGATGATTAATCAATAGAAAAAAGTAATAATTATACCAGGAAATATGAGGGCGCATTGATCACTTCCGCGGTAAATACAATTTCTAACAATTAGTAGTTCAATCGTAAATAATATTTATTAAAAATATTATTAATATATTCCAAATTTATTATATTTAAATAATATTTAAATTTATTATTTTTTATTATTATTTGATCATAGTATTATACATTAGTTTAAGACATTTACTAATTTACTTTTATTTTTTAGTGTACTTTTATTATTCAATTTCATATAAGTAAATAAATCAGCTAAGATACAGAGGCAAAAATATTACATTACATTTATTAAATATTTTTTGTTAATAAGTTTTTAATAAACGACGAGCAACGGATAATTTTGATTGTAACTTAGAACGATAATCTTACTAAGGATAAAAACATAGATATTAATTAATGTAGATTTATATTGCGAAGTTTTATCCTTTTAAATGTTGATACTATAAAACTTTTCTATTAGGATTATTTATTATGATCAAAAACTGTAAACATTTGAACGATAGAAAATACTACACATTGATGTCAGCTATTATTATACATTTTTTGAACTTTCTTATACACTGTAAGAAAGGTGCAATTATTTAACTAGTTATTGTGGATTTCTTTGATTATTATTGACATAAATTTTATGAAAATGTATAAGACTTCCCAACTAAATTAGCTTCTATGAAGAAATTTTTCATTAAAAGAAATATTATTAGTTAGACTATTAAATATAATTTTAGTGTAAATAATTGTAAAGATGAAAAGAGAAAATATAATTATGTTGAAAAAGGATGGAAAAGGCATAGAAAGGATTTTTAGTTTATCAATAAAGAGGAATAAGTTAAAAATGATACCTACAATATTTTATTGTAATGACTAATAATTTTGAAAGAGTATTATAAAATAATATTTGGATTTACCTTTTTTTTATTTTCAAGATTACAGTTATCATCATTTTAGTATTCCAAACGTTATTATATAGAGATCGAAAAATTTATTTTGAACATAATAACGCTGTAAGTGAATTTGTATAATAGATAAAATATATAATAAATGTTTGATAACAAAGTTGTAATTAATAATATTTAGTTTTAATTATGATAGTCAAACAGGGGAAAAAATTGATAAAGGTTAGAATTGTTTATAACAATAAGAAAGAGTCGTGATAGAAAGCTCTGCTGAACCATCAAAAACCTTGAAATGATAAATATTTAACATTTTTTGGTAATATTGAACGAGCTAACGACAAATAAATAGTTAATATTAATAAATACTTTACAACAAAAATATATTCATATTGTCGTAACGTCTCGTATAAGGTTCAATTATAAGATAAATTAATAACAATCCATAAATGATATTTTGTAAATACAATTTCTGCCGAATGATAATAATTAATATGATTTAAACGAATTTATCTTTAAATGAAAATTTGTTCTGAAGTGATAATAGTTACAATCAAATTGTACATTTACTAAACATAATGTAAAATCGAACATTTAACATATGATATTTTTGGTAGGTTTTAAAATAAATATTCATGTAAACACCATATTCTCTCTTTCTATACATATCATTTCTATAAGACACATTTGCTCTATGCATGCCAACAGCGCCAAGTAATATATGAACTAAATGGTGATATTTGAGGTATATTGACAATATAACTGAATGGGATTTCGTAATTAAAACATTTTATTTTTGGTTTTAATAAATTATATGAATATATAAAACAAGTGAAAAGTTCCATTTATTCTTATTATATAGTTTTATTAGTTCAGCTAAAAACAAGTAAATATAATCAATAAAGAAATACCTTAAAATTCAATGAAAATTTGGTTAAGTAATGTCAAAGTATTAAAAAAACTCCAATTATAAAGTAGCATTTAAAACGATTTAAAATGTTAAATATCTGTAAAAAGTATCATTTAAAAGTATTTGAAGTATTGAATATCATTTGATAGCATTCAAAATCAAATCTTTGTGAATCGTTTTAAATGGTATTTTCTAATCAGGAAACTATTATTAAATAATAACACAAAATAAAAAATTATTAACAAAAAGAATAGTTATTTTTTAACTAAATTGTTATATATTTGTAAAATTAATTTATATTTTCCTCATTTTTAGCCACAAATAAAACATAGAATTAATTATTAAAAAGGGATTCTAATCAATCAGCCATGAAATATTATTAGATACATAGATTATAATCAAAGGCAGAAATTTAGTCCTTGTTAAAAATGTAAGGGATGTTGAAGAACATTGGAAAATAATGAAAATTATCTTATCAAATCGCGTGTTATCAGATAAGCATTGGTCCATGCAACACCTTACACTACATCATTAAATGTTATTTGAAATTTTATAATTTATATCATATTAAATAGTAATGTTAAGATAATTTAATTAACAAATTTTATTTTTTCTATTTCAGATAAATGCGACATTGATGTTTAATATAATTGCGTTTACAACCAAAGTAAAAAGTGCAAACATATTGCTGCATTGATTTACTTTATTAAAAATGAAGAAAGTGCATCAAAAACAAATAATGAGCAACAGTGAGGGAAACAGACAATTTGCACGACAATTTGCCAAAAAAAAATATTCTAAAGAAGAATATTTCGAAAAAATGGCACCTCATAAACGTACAACTACATGAGTCTTAAGAAGTGTATATTTCTGAATTAATTGCAAATTTTTCATTGAAACAGATTTTAAAATCCAAAATAGAAAAAACAAATATTCATATAGTAAAAAATATTATGAATTCGTTACTGATGCAAGTGGAAATTAATTTAGAAAAAGAAGATTGTGCCGAATGCGTTAATAATTTTTTAATTTTCGGTAAAGACCATTTAATTTATAAATGTGATTATGAACTGGATATGAATCTAAGAAATTTTTATGTTAAAAATATTATCTATATAAATTATTATTACTGTCTGAGAAAAACGTCGTTAATTTAAGCTGTAAAACTTTAGGACAATCTTCTTGTAATGAACGGTACAAATCTACGACTTCTTGCTAGTACAAATATGCACAGTATTAAAATGCGGTCAAAAAAAACTATCGACAGTCTGGTATCAGATATTTTATACCCTAAAAAAATTAATTGTGCTTCTACCAGATATAGTTTAATACATGAATGTCATGCCAAAGAAAAATATGAACTACTTTATAATTGCATTGTAAAATGTGTTGGTGTAGTTGTTCGTAAATTTTAAACTTGACTTTGTGCGAGTCTTGATGATATTGTCATAGAAGATGGATGCATTTCGAAACTAGTAAAATGTTTTGCTAATACGTTTATAATTCACAATACAGCAACTCCGGGGCTTATTTCTTTTGATTATTTAAAGAAAAAAATTAAAATCAACACGTATATATAATTCACTAAAAGTACAAAATATCCCCCTGAAGTACTTGACTTATCTATGAATTGAAGTTTTTCGTAGATGAAATGCATCACTGGCAATTAGACGCCAATGTAATCGAGCGGCACCTTATAAATGCTCGGTAATAAATTTTTCTGTTTCATAGATCTGGTGTTGATGCATATGTGAACAACTTCGGTAATTCGCAGTAAGTACTCCAAAGAGAATGTTCTGCAAAGGGCCATATATCATTGTTGAATATATTTGTCATTGAGAACTCCTTGGATACTTCCTAAGAAAATGCATAAATAAAAAACATATTGCTATATTAATTAATATTTTGATGTCAAATAACACAGTAGTATATTTTTTCAAAAACAAAAGTTAAAAATGGCTGACGTAGTAATAAATACGTTTTTTTTTAATAAGAACTGGAATAGTAAAAATTAGGGAAAAATCCTATTTTTTCTTATATGTATATATTGAGAAGTAAAAATTAAGTAGTAATTTTAAAATGTTTTTAGAATATTTGAAATTATATATTTGCAAATCTTTTTGAAATAAGCTTAGGAAACTTGTCACTATATTGTTACACTTATTCCGCATGTCAATTATGTTTGAAAAGTTTAATAAAAATTTGTGCGTAATTAAAAAAAAATAAATTTTATTTACACTAAAATAATCAGTTTTATCTTAAAATCCTAAGACTATTCTAACATTAATTAAACTCGAATGTTAATTATTTCTTTATTAAAAAATTATAACATTCCACTATGCAACTAAAAACATTTATTTTACCGTAAAATAAATTACATTTACTTGGCTTCCACTAATTTTATCATTGATTAAATGCTGTCTTTAAATTTCGTTTCTTTCATTTGTTCGAAATATTTGTCATCTAAATTTTATAATTTTAAACTGATAACTGCCATTGATTTAATCACTTTAAGTCAACTTCTCGAAATTTCCTGTAAAGTGTTAATAAATATAATAAACTAAACAAAACTATTCTTCAAAAATAACTTAATTACCTTGAAACTTCACTTATTAATATTATATATTTAAACTACATAAAAAATATTTTTAATTATAAGTTGATAAAATCATAAAAACGTTTAAAGATAAAATTATTGTTAATAATAAAATTTATTCTAATAAATTACAAAACTATATATAATTTCATGGTAGTCAGCAATTCAAAATTGTAATATAATACGCATATCGCGGATGTCGTGTTTAAGTATTCATTCTTCGACTGCTAAGCCATTTAAATCGTCATTATTGGTTTCTTTGCTACTTAGAGTTGATTTCTAACTATTTATCTTCTTTTTTACATATATGAAAATTCTATGTTGCTTGGTAATATTTCATTTTATTTCAATGTATTTTCATTATAATATTTATAATCGTGGAGAGTTAGAAGGTAAAATTAAAAATAATTTTTATATATCCATATCTCTTTCTAATTTATTAATCTTTCAATTTTTTAATATGATTACATTGTTAGAACAGTTCTATTTGAAATTGTTACTTTTAAAATTATTCTTCTATTAAACTATTATGAACAAATCAACTTGACTCTAACAGTAATTATTTGCTCGCCTGTTTTCCTCAACATTTATCATTATAATTCCAGATCCACGTGGTATTTTGATCCCACATGGTATCCTAACTTCATGGTATCATGAGTATCTTTTTTGATGCTTTTAATTCGAAGATTCTTATATACGAGAAAATTTTTATCGTACAATCGTTCTACATCCTGCCTTGAAAATTTTTTCCAAAAGAAAAAAACTTTTTTTATTAGGAAAATATAGAAAAAATAATTATTAATTTATCGAAAATATTTATCGGTCACATACCGATAGTCAGTTGGTTATTTATCGACAATTGGTCAATAAGTCTTAAAAGTTCATCGAATATCCAATAGATAACATCTCAATCAATTTCGTGATATGGCATGATATTCGACTTTACCCTTCGTTAAGTAATTTCATATTAGCTATTATTAATTACATAGGTACTTGCAATTCTTTATTGTATTAATTATTTGCTCTTGTCTGAAGCAAAACAAGAAGAGCGGTTATACTTATCATTTAGGGTATGTCGAAATCGTACGAGTCTAAATCATGAAAATATTATATTTTAATTAAAAGAAAAAATGATTTTGAGAAAGTTTCTTTAAAAAATAAATAAGATATTATATAGAATTTATATTTATTTTTTCTCTTTATTTTTTTTTCAATATCATTACTTTCATTTATTCCTAAGCTTCATCTTGAATTAATTGCTTTCAAAAAAACGATTTGAATCGAACAATTTGTTTGCCTAAAATTTGTATTACATTTTTAGAGTTTATTTGATGCCAATTTTGCCAGGAGTTCCATGAAATGTATTCACGTGACAATGGAAATCCTTTCGTTTGGAACAAGCAACGCCAGGACTCAACAAATATTATTAATTAATATATGATTTACTGATACGTAAATTGCAACACATGATTGATAAATAGTATATCCATAATCATATATATATAAAGAAATACTATTCAAAAAAAAGTACTATTTTGATAGAAAAACAACGTGTATCAAACTTGTTATTAGAAGAAGGAAGAAGAAAAGGATAATAAAAAAACAATATATAATCAGCGCTGTTGAACCTGTCGAAGTCTCTCAATCGATATATATCGAGTTTTTCAATGTAGTGAACAAAATTCAAATGGATTTCGTGGTTTAAAGAAACAAATCCTCATGAGGATTAACAGCTTTTTCATATCGGGCGTGGATTAGACAAGAATTGATAAATAATTTTGACGTTGCAAGAGGATCACTTTTCTAATCTATTATGAAGCGATGATGATATTAGTAAATTTAAAAATGAACAACCATTTGAATCAAAAGACGAAACAGATGCTGATCGACGTATATCCTAGGTAAATACTTACGTTGGATTTGATGCGAACTAAGAACACGCGTACGAATGAACAGTGGATAGAAAAAGAAACCGAAGCATTACGTTGAAGCTGTTAGATAATTCTCCAGTGATGTTTGTAAACAAGCTTATAAGTGGTTTGGATTCCTATTTTTCTCTTCAATACGTGAAAATACTTCAGAAGCTAACGAAATACGATACGACGATAATTTGCACAATCCGTCAACCTAACTTGTCTATTTACGAGATATTCGATCATATTTACTTGCTAACCGATGAATGTTACATATAGAGGGTAGTAATTAAAAATACAATCAACTATTTCTCTAATCTTGGTCTGCACTGTCTAAAATATCATAATCCTACGGACTATATGATAGAGATTATTAGCAACGAATATAGAAACTTCAAAGATCAATTTGTAGGTATACAGATAGAGGATAACAAAACGATCTGGGAGTAAATGCGCTCAGAGAAATTGTTGATAATCGAAAAGAAAAGCCTTCGACATTGAATATCATAATCCTGTGGATTTTTCATAATTCATTACAATCACTTATTTCTTATTTCAGTCGATCGTTGAAGTTTCCGTATTCGTTGTTAACGATTTCTATCATATAATTCACGGGATTATGATATTTTGAACAATGCAGATCTAAATTAGCAAAGTAATCGATTGTGTTTTTAGCTGCTTCCTCGTATATGCACCGTCCGTCGACTAGCAAGTAAATGTGATCGAATATCACGAATATAGCTGTCCTAATGTAAGCTGATAGATGTGCAGATTATCATTCTATCGCCTATTGTTAACTTCTATAGCATTTTTACACAGTGAAAAGAAAAATAGGGATGCAGATTGGTTATTCCCAGATATTTGCATTGCTTATTGCAGATTGGTTATTATGCAGATTGGTATATCCAAAAACATCACCATAGAATTATCGACCAGTTTCGAAGCGGTGCTCAGTTTCTTCTTCTGTCCACCGTTCAGTTTATTGTGTAAGGAACTACTTACTTGATCCTTATCAAATTCTGATTCAGATTGTTACCTATTCACAAATTAGCTGATATTGTCATCGCTTTGTTCACTATAAATAAATTCGAAAGATATTCTTCTTGCAATATATAACTATCCTTATTTCCTTTATTATTCAGATAATTTATCTATCATTTTAGACTTCTTTTTTATACAAAAAACTATTTTATCTATTCGTATATCTATTGAACAGAATCTCCTATAACACGAACTTCAAATATCATTTCAGTTATTTTTACTTATACATCCATATGCAATATTCTCACTTCTTCGTTGTAAATAAATGCTTAAAGTTACATTAAAAAGAAAAAAAAAACAAGAAAAGATATTACACGAAGCATAAAGTTATTATATAAATTTTGAATGGATCGAAAAAAATTAGAATTTTTCGTAGATTTAAATATTCATAACCAATGTTTATAATATATCTATAATATCTTATCGTTTCTTCGTTTAATTGCCATCTTTTTTTCTTAGCATATAAATATGTAAAAATAGATACTGAACCAAAAAAAAACAAGAAATTTAATTATAAAAACCTCTCAAAGAAAATAAAAAAAGATGGAGAGTTTATAATTATAAACAAATTGAAATAAATTCATTTATATATGTTCATCCATATCCATTATCTTCTTTTTCTCCTTCTATTTCTCTTTTTCTTCTTCTTTTCGTATTTATTTTTCTCTTTTTTCTATTTCTTTTTCTCTCTTCATTTCATCCCTTCTCCTCGCTTTCTTATTACTATTATTATTAGTCTTTACGGTTTCGTACCTTGTAGCCGTCGTCGTTGTCGACGTCGGCGTCGTCGGCGTCTTCGGCGTCGTCTTCGTTTTCGTAGTCATCAGGATCGTCTGGTCCCGGTCATCCTCAATCTCTGAGGCGCCGGCGTCTCTGACTGACTGAATAAATATACGTAAATTCAAGTCAAATAGTTAGTGAATCCGGCCCACGCCATCAAACTGCCTTCGGTGTTTATTTTACGAGTATGTGTGTTTATACATGTAAACACTATACTTGTATGACTCTGCTTTTACATGTGCAGAATAAACATGCACATATATACATATACGCATATGTATTTGTATGTGTGTGTATATATATATTTTTTTGTATATATCACAACATGTCATCCTAAATTTTGTGCTTTTGGACTTCAAATAAACCTGGCGCCGTCTCCGACCAACTTCTTTTACTTTCGGAGACTAAATCCTGTCTATATACATTATCCCCACCATTTCTCCATTATCACGATAATTATTAGTCTGGCATGGAAACAAATGCGAAATGTCTTCTTCGAATATATCGGTATTAATACTACTACTACCACCAACAAACTCGTTCCTAAATTTACGATTATTCGTATTTCTTTTCGTTTACAATCAAATAAATTGTCATTATCAAAGTAATTCTGTGTTACAGATAACAATAATACTATTTAATTTAATTGGATTTGATTTAATTAAAATTTAATTGTAAATTTGTTATAATAAATCAACTAGAGAAGAATACTTAAAAAGTCCAGAAAAACATATATATATATATATATATATGTTTATGTCCAGAAAAACATATATATATAATATATATATATATATATATATATATATATATATATATATGTTTTTCTGGACTTTTTAAGTATTCTTCTCTCGCAGCCACTTTCTACAAAGAAGATAAAGATAAATCCCAACAATTTCAAGACGAAACAGATATTAAAATTTTCTTTACCAATTCCTATAATTCCTAAATATATTCAAAGATTTTTCATTTGAATTATACCAAATGTGTTTTAATAACAGAGAAATATCGTTTCTTTTAATAATTTATAATGAATTCTGAATTCATATTCTCATAATGAATGAAATAAAATGAAATTATATTAAATGAATTCTACCACAAGATAATGACTTAGATTTTAAAAACTGAAGAAATAAAGAAATAAGTAACTTATACACGATTTTTAACGTGAGATAAATAAAGAAAGAAAAAATAAGATGAAAAAGAAGAATAAATAGTCTTGACTAAGACCATAATCATTGTTAGTAATTGAGACCCACCGTTGAAGGTAAAACATTAGTGGAAGATCGTTAATTAATAAATGATCTTAGAATTCGTAAAAAAATCGTAAAAACTCGTTAAGTTTTCTTCTCGTTCTTCGAATTATGAACAATGGTAGTTAACCCGTCTTCTTGGAAGATTCTTTGATTCTACGATGTATGTATTTACACGTATCTACCCTTGATGAATTTTCGTTTTGACATCTTTCCTAGAAGGGACAAGGACAAGGTCCACTCTTAAATTTCCCACATCACAAATCTTGCTTATGTATATGTATATATATGTATATATGTATATATGTATATATGTATATATGTATATATATATGTGTATATATATGTGTGTGTATGTACATGTATATGTTTGTATGTATATATAAATGCTTAAGCTGATGACGTCAATCGGCCAACATGACACAAACGTTTTCCACGAAAGGAGGATCCTTTCCTTCATCATTCCACTCTGTATTTTTCTTTTCTCTCTTTTTACTCTGAACAACCTGCAAGAATAAAAGTAGAAAAGCATAAATCATATAGGACAAATATAGATATAAATTTATCTATGTATTTGTTTAAATAATTAATTGTATTGAATTAATTGAACAATTGATAATATGTTGCAATTTTTATTATTTGACTTTTAAATAATTAACATAATTTGTATATTATAATTCCTGCAAAGACGATAGAAAATATATAAATCATATTGAGCAAATATATAGATACTATCTATGTATGTGTTTAATTATATATATATAAATATATATAACTAAATATATATATATAATTAGTATATATATATATATAATACTATAATACTATTATATATATATATTATATATATATATATATATATATATATATATATATATATAATAGTATAAGTATTGACAAATGCAATGGAAATATTTTAGAATAAAAAGTTTGACTTACACGAACGACTTTCATTAATATTGGCATACATTTTTCATCCAAGTTTTCATTATATAGCAATGTTATAATATGTAAGTTATACATCAACAACATATCTAATAATATACACATACCTATTTGATAAATATATTACGTAAATATTTCGTAACGTAATACAAAATAACTATAATAGGAATACTTGTTATCTATATGAAAAAATGTAACATAAGATAAAAGAATCTTCGTGTAAGTATATCTATATTAAAATGTAAATATCGTTCAATCGTACACATCTAGAAAATATGTACACATCTAGATTAATTTCTAATCAACAAAAAAAGATCTTTTACTGAATGATTTCTTATCATTCATATGAATTTATTTATAATAAATACAATCGAGTAGATACTTCATATAAAAATTTCAATAGATTAGTCATTCTATAAAAATTATAAAACGATATTTATCCTTCCGATAAAATACGACCCGTTGATTATGAAACTGATCTAAGTAAAAAGAATTATAAACAAAATTAATTTATTCCGTAATCTGTAGATATACAAATATATTGCTGTACGAATTACGCAATAAATACATTATTTTTTGTTCTTTTTTCTTTAATTTGTAACTTAGATCGTACTTAATATTATATTTAATGTAATTATATTGAAATATAATATATTATAGCATAATATATACATTTTATATTATATTATATTATTTTATATTATTTTATATTATTTTATATTATAATCATATTGTTTTAAAATCCAATAAAGTAAGTAGTTTATATTGAAATAAATATACGAAAGATAGTTCGATATGAAAAATTAGTGGTCCCACGGGGTCGATTATGAATGTGATGCAAATGACTCCGCATGCCCGATATTTGTCCACTTATAGTCGTCAATGGTACAAATGTAGGATTATATCGATCGGATCGTTGGGAATGCCTATGACGTCAAAAGATATATATCGTTTGTTCCTTCTTTGACCCGCTTCCTTGACCTAACAAAGACAGAGACAGTGTCGAAGAAATAAAAAAAGAGTGAACAAGCAGGCACGCATCTCTAATGGTACCGAAGACGAAAAAGATGAAGAAGAAGAAGATAAAGAGGAAGAAAACGATGAAGATGAAGAAGAAGAAAACAAAGATTAAAATGAAGAAGAAGAGAAAGAAATAGAAATAGAAAAAGAAATTTCCTCTTACAATCAGCTCGTGTCAATTTGCGTTGGGGCCAAAAGTAAAGAGGGAAAAGAAGGAGGATGATGGTACTCGTTCTAAGAATCCTTCGTTGTTCGTATAAGTTTGCTGACGTCATTAAGAAGATACGTAATAGCGCAGTCGAGCATACCAACCGGGCGTTGAAATTCTTCGTAGGGATGGTCCTCTAGCTCCTACGTGACCAGTGTCACGGATACATAGTTCCTTGCTCACGACACATCCCCTTTTCCCTTCTTCTCTTTCTCTCTCTCTCTCTCTCTCTCTCTCTCTCTCTCTCTCTCTCTCTCTCTCTCTCTCTCCACCGACCCCCACACACCCACCCTCGGAAAAGAACAAGATTTAGATTGGTATCTCTTTTTAGTCCCTTTCTCATCGATCATTCACGCCATGTTCGAGAAGTATTTTTTACTTTTTACTTATTGGTTCGAAATCCATATAGATCATTAATGAGATAAGGATTTTAAAATGAAAATATTTTTTTGTTCATTTTCTATTTCTTTTGAGTTTCATTTTCGTATGAGATGTAACGGTCGATAGATTGTTAATATAAAATGAAAATGATTTTTTTTTATCGAAAATTTATTTTTTCCCCTTAAGTTTAATTTTATATGAAATCGATCGATAAATCGTTAACAAGATAAGAATGATTTTTTAACGAAAATGTATTTCTTGTTTCGAGTTCATCTTTATATAGATCAAACAATAGATCATTAACAAGGTGAGAATGACATTTTAATGAAAACTTTTTTCTTATTTTACGTTGATTTTTATACGAATCGATCGATAGATCATCACAGAGGTGACGACGATCATCTAAATAAAAAATACTTACATATTATTCCATATTAATTTTTAATTCGTAT